CTCCGAGTAATAAGAAATATATTGGTTTACTCCTTATGCACGTAGCCTTTCTCTTTCCGCGTGATTTTTTGAGTTGAAATTTCAAAGGATAATCGTTATTTGCGGTCCCTGTAATATATACGTGATAAGGTGAAAACACCATTTTTAAAGCTGAATAACGGTAAATTGCAAATATTTAGAATAGTTATCCATAGAAAAAAAATGATCTCGATTTTCGGAATCACCGAAGAATTCTACATGGGAATTGGATAGTGGCATCCATAGAACATTTTTGCTGTCAACCAGTGTAATTATGTCAAAAAGCTGCAACTAACTTTAGTTTCGTTTTTATTTTGACTATGAATATGCCCCATTGTTTCCAACTATTGCAAATGTTTGCAAACTTAACAAATTTAAAAAGAGATTTGAATTCTGATGAAAAACCAGACACATCAAGAGTCACTGAAGTGTTTTCTTTAATAAATCTCTCATTGACAAATTTTCATCGAGGTTTTCTGAATTCAAGGAATTATCGGAAACACACAAATTTATTATGTATCCTGATGTGACTTCAATTGATGAACTGAGCTCAATCACAATCTATATATATGTAAAGCAATAGCCGTGTTCGTTGTTCGGAGTTAACTCTAACAGGTCTATTCTGCACGTTACCGGAGGTTTTGTAACCGGAAAATTTTATTACCAAAAAATGTTACCAGTTCTTGTCACCGCGATTCTAGGAACGTTGGTAATGCAGTAAAAATATTCAGCGATTCAGCTATGAAGAATTGTGCAAATTCTGGCATTGCATATTTCACGGGGCAATACTTTGTTACCAGCTTACGAGATGGTAACAAAATTTCACGGCTACAAGAGTACACAGAATGCGAAAAGGGTTTAAAAATTGACAGGAACTTTATTTACCGGTTACAAACTTTTTATTACCAGCGCAGAATAGACCAGTAAAACTACTGCATAGATTTCAGTCAAATTTTCAGAGGTTATGCCTTGCATATATGAACCTATTATAGGCTACCAGAAAACTCGCTAGGTGAAGCTGTGGTCGAGTTATTTATAAAAGTCGTATTTATGAACCGATTTCGTTCAAATTCAAAACGTGTGCTACCTCCATGATGAGAAATACGTATGCGAAAATTAGACGCGCTAGGTGGCGCTGGAGTCGAGTTATTTATAAAAGTCGGATTTATAAACCGATTTCGTTCAAATTCAAAGCATCCGTCCAAGAAGGAACACGGTAGGTATATCAATGGCTTCATTAACGATATTCAAGAGATCACACGACTCATTTAGCCGATGTACGGGAAAACTTTTCATCCTGTGGGACTGCGAGGATTCTTGGCCCTCCTATAACTGAAAACGCTCATCTGTGTTCTTGAGTTATAAGGACTTTTATTGGCTTACATGGTACATCGAACCAATGCTGAAGTTGCAAGATCGTAGAAGAATATCACGCACGCTTGGCAGAGATCTGATAGGTGAAAATGAGACGATCGATAAAGCTCACACAGCGCTTCTATTCATGGCCTATGTTTGAGGAGGATTCTGCTCTTTAGTCGTTTCAATTTAAACTAAAAATGTTTACTTTACATACCGCTTTTGCTTTTAAACGCTATTTTTGTATTGGCCCACGCAAAAGATCTTATTAGGCGCCGCGAAGCAAGCGGGCATTGGCTAGTATTAAAATAAAATGTTAATAAGCCACAATAACATTGACAAAAGAACTTGGTTAAATTGGCTAATACTAACAGCCAATTTCACGAAAGCAATTTTAGTGAAAAATGTCTTCAATTTTTTGAACTATATATCGAAATTGACGGAAACTAAAACTAATTTTTCATTTAAATTGCTAATGAAACCGACTGTAACAGCTCAGTTATGCAAGACTTAGACTTGACTTGACTTGAAAATTGTAAATCTGGCAAACTTGGAGAACTATAGATCTTTGATTTCTAAAAGCTCAGTCATGCAAGACTTGATTCGATTTGAAAATTGTGTATCTGGCAAATGAGCAGCGAAACTTGGAGAACTATAGATCTTTGATTTCTAAGTGCAAATAGAGCCCTGAGAGAATCATGCTGCCATTTCATTTTTTAATAAAATCCTTACAAATATGCCACATAAATAAAATTTTTTGTATAAATGTAATTCATCTGGCAATCGAAAAACAAACTTTCAAATAAAGACAGAAAATAAAATAAAAACAATCACAATTCTATACGCGTAAATACCAGAGACTGAAAATAAAAGTTATTTTAAAATTTTTGATATCAAAAAGGCGTAGCGAAAAAATTATGCTATAGCTTTTTCAAAGGTACCATTAGACTCGTCTCTCATTGTAGATTCTGATTTCTCCATGACTTTTAAAAATATGACTTATCATTTTGAGCAAATAATACCGATTATTTCTGCTTTTTATTTTTTAAGGCAAAAATAAAAGTTAAAATTTGCCTTTTATTTTTTTGAGTAGAAAATAATCGGTAATTGTTGACTTTTATTTTTTCAGGCAAAAATGAAAGTCAAAGTTAAAAATCAAGTATTCCAGAGCTGTGTATATTCGAACGTGAATGTTTTGAAGCTCCTACATGGATTTTAATAACCCCTATACCCAAATACCAGGGATAGTTCAAATCTTTATATATATGTATCAGGGCTGGGAATTTCATCCGGATTTTTCAACTATCCGGATAAACCGAATATTCGAATATCCGGAAACCATAACGAAAAACCCGGGTAGTCCGGAAGGTAAGATAATATTCGGATATTCGAATATCCTTATTTTTTATTAGGTCAAATGTGACATTTTCCTGCGTTCACTCTTTTTTATTTACCAGTTTTATTTGATCTAAACCACATTTTCATTTCCCAATACCAGGCGCTCATACATGTGAAGTAACAAATTTTTTATTTCCAAAATTCTACTTTGGCTGCATTTCCTTATTCATTCTGAACGTTTGGAATAAACTTTTTTGTTTACTTATTCTTTAGAACGTTCCTGATGATATGTTAACGTATATTTCAAACACATTCTGTTTATTCCGGCTGTGAAATGGGATTATCCGGAATGTATAAAGAAACGCAGCCTTTATGTATTTCAAAGGCTCCTACAAACGAAATAAAAAGCTCTACAAAAAAATTTATGTTTATAGAAAACGTGCTACTTCATCTATATGAGCGCCTGGTATTGGGAAATAAAAATATCGTTTCGTAAAAATAAACAAAAAATCCGGATATTCGAATAATTGCACAAACGAATATAAATCGGATATCCATACTTTCCGGATTTTATCCGTGTAAACGGACATGACTTTTTTGAATAGGGTTGCCAAATTTTTTAAATTATAAAATCTGCACCGTTCGTTGTATTAAAACAGTATAGTTGCCAAATGAAAGAGCTAGGCCTGTAGATGTGCAAGAAGATCTAAATTTTTTGAATAGGGTTGCCACCTGCTTCTAAAATAGAAGATTTACACCGTTCGTTGTATTAAAACAGAAGAGGTGCCAAATAGAAGGGCATAGATAGAGTAGATAGATAGATAGAATAGATTTTATAATTTAAACAAGTAAGAAAGGCTAAACTCGGGCGAAACCGAATTTTACATACCCTCGCGTTATGTTCTTTTTATGCATGTAATGTATTGATGCTTGCTAGTGCTTGACCATCTCCTCTGATTTGTGGCGTTCGCCTTGATGTTGTTACACATAGGGGAGGGACCTACACTTTTACGCCGACTCCGAACGGCGATTGTATGTTTATGGGAAGCTGTTTTTTCATGGCAGAAATACACTCACATGTTTGCAATTACCTGCCGAGGGGCGATCGCTTTTAGAAAAAACTTTTGTTTTTAATGTTAGTCGAAACTTAGGCTCGATCCCCGGCTTTTGCTCGAAATCAGAGGTTTCATCTTGGGCGATTATGAATTTTAACCACAGAGTTAGCTGGGGCATGCCCACTTTTCAAAAATTTATAATAATCTTATTTTGTACTCCAGTAGTTACGAAAATACCGTAGATTTAAATGTTTGAAAATGCTGTTATTTGGGAGGGAGACGCGGTTATTGTCCATTTCAATACCAAGCTTTCTATCTCGTTGAGATATCTCAAGTTTTGCTCGAATTATCTTGTAAACGGGCGGACGGACGGACGGACGTTAAATCTGGCATAGCTTTATCGGGTTTTATATGCCTTTTAAGAATTTTGACATATAAGTACGTTCAATCATAAAAATACTAAGTTCGATTAAAACCGAGATTGATTGACTAGGCGTACATGCTAATTTGAAATAAATAAAGTTTGGAATAATTTTTACAAGATTTAATTAAAAATATATTACAATATTTATAGATATAGTCATAAGCATTAGTTATGTGATAAATAGAAAGAATTGCAAAGCAGAAGTTCTTAACAATAAAGATCTTAAAATAGTTTTGAAATAAATTTCGTATATTTTTACAAACCTAAAAAGATTTTATAGTTTACAGACTTATAACAATATAACTATACAAACTACATGATTTGCTTTGCTTAATATTCAAGGTTTACTTATGAGCATGTAATAATAAAATTATTTATTTATTTATTTATTTTACTAAAAGTACTTATGTTTTAAAAATTACTTAATTTTAGCAGAACAGTCAGAAAAACTAGGATCAAACATTTGAATAACCTACAGAAATGCAAATGCCATCATGGTAACTGTGAATCGTTTCATAAGTTATTGCGCTAATCAAGTCTCTATCCATGTTCGAGAACGCCCAATCAATTTGAGACCCTATAGCTGTAGTCGAATATTGTAGATCTAATAACGAACTAAAATTGTTTTCTCTTAAAAGATGTGCAATTCTATTCGTAGTAGTCTTAAGGCATAGATTGAAATCCCCCACAATAATAATTTCCCTATTCTCAAAGTCGTTGCAGATAATGTCACGTAATTCTGCTTCCAAGTCTCCAATAGGGAAATTTGAATTTCTGTAAAGCACCAGCACATATATATTATCGTGGTTAAACAATATCGCTTCTTAAGTCTTGCGAAGAGAATACTTTTGAATGGTTCTACAAAGTTGAATGGATGAAGCCATTTCAGTCTTTGCATACACTAAAATGCCCCGTTTGTTTCTATTCCGCGTTGTAGTGCTATCTATCCTTAGATCATTTAATTGACAAAGGCCGGGAATTTCAAAATTTTCGGAGGGATAGCTCCATGTCTCGACGAAACATAATATATCCGAAGTCATCATCAAATAATCGCTTCTAACATCATCAATATGAGCATGAAGGCTCTGGGCATTATGATAAATTATTTGAAGTTTTGATGTTCGAGAGAGCATGAAACTAAAAGTGGATGTTAAGGATTTTGACGTTTTCAAGTCAACCAGTTCCTTGAATACAGGATCTGATTCTGTAAATGGACATGGGGGCACAAAATTTCCTAATATAAATAGACCATCAGCACTAGTGGCTCTACTGCAAGCTACATACAATGCTGCTCTGGGCATTCTAGCTCGGGTATGTACAACCACTTTGCTATACGTCGCACCCTGGCTTTTATGAATCGTTATTCCCTCCGCTGGAACAACAGGAAATTGGTTTCTTTCAACAGTTATTTGCTCATTCCTTTTATATTGAAAAGTCCTCACTGTTTTTTCAATTGGCGTCCAAGAAGCATCACTAGGATGAGACTTTCTTGATCTAGCCAACAAACCCACTGATGGTTCCAAAAACTTTAGCCAAAGAGTTGATGGCATCGATGATTCGAAATCAATATGCATCAGTTGGCCAGTTGCACCATTTACTAACCCATCACCTGTATTGATATTAACAGTTATCATATATTTGGCAGTAGTCTTCAATGTCAAGTTATACGACAGGCCCTGAGTTTCAGAATTTTTAAAAAGCTTGACCCTATCTAAAATATTGGAAGTTTGTCCTCCGATAGCAATACCTTTAACAACATCTTTGGCAGTAGATAAAATGGCTGAAGTTGAGATCTGACTAAGTTTAAGGGCATTAAAATTATTGGATTCTTCATTAGACCAAAATAAATGAATGGCTTCATTGGGAACTTGGTTTAAGCTAACTATTCGGCTATTGATTAAAGATATGTCCGCACTTGTCATAATGCCGGAAGCCATATTATTTAATGCGATAGCAAAAGGTTGATCCCCACGTTGCCTCATCACCTCAGTTAACTCAAAATATTTAAACAACTCCCATAGAAGGGAACCAACTAAAACGCTATAATTGTCGCTTGGGTTGGGAGAGAAAATCCATCTGTCTCCGACAGGAGAAAGTTGCCTCAAATCCCCGAAAAGAATGACTGAAATACCTCCAAAAGGACTGTTGGTTTTGAAAATTTGCTTAAGTCTAGCGTCAATTGAACTAAACATTCTAGCTCCTACCATTGATATTTCATCAATGATTATTAACTTCAAATCAATCAGCTTGGAGTAAATTGAGTTAACTAAATCGTTACTGAGTGGTCGCAAGTCTCGATTTGACTGATTCACAGGTAGTGAGAATATAGAATGTAGTGTTAATCCACCAATTCCAAACGCTGCTTTTCCTGTAGGGGCACTAAGCAAAACTTTCAAGGAACTCGGGTTGGATCCAGGCACGGAGTTCAAACGATGGTTAAGAGTCTGATACATAGCTGATATCAAACGACTCTTACCAACTCCTGCTCCACCTCCCACAAACTCATAAAATGGCTGATTTGTTTTGATTTTGTGTAGCATATGTGTCATATACGTTCTCTGCTTAACGTTTAGACTTCGAACTAATGAAAAAAGTTCTTCTGCGGGAATTAAGGGCGGAAGTTTTATTAGCCTAATATTACCATCAGAGTCACTTTCATTCGTTGACGGGTCTTCTCCATGCAGGTCTAGCAAATTCAAGCCAGAGTTTACTTCCGGGAGCCCTAAGATCCTAAACTCGTTATCTACTACAGGTTGGACATTTGGCTCATTTACTTCAAAATCTACTTCTTCTCGAAGTCGATCTAAAACATTCTCAAGCTCGCGCTGCTCAAATACATCATATTTCCTTCGATTTTCCTCTATTGAAATATGATGTGCTACACAAGTTTCCTCGTTATCGTTAAGAATAATTTCTCGCTCTTCATCTCGCCATGGACGGTAAAGCATGACTATTTCCCTGAAGTAATCACTTCTAGCAGTATCAGGACTAAATCTCCTGGACCTAATGACACATGGTTTGGTACGTTTCTTAACGAAACCAGTACCGTCTCTCAGGGGAAGCGCATTCCCACGTCCAATGAAATTATCTTCCTCTCTCTCGTCTTCACTACCATCACTTTCTTCCGCCCTTCTGTTTGTTTTTTTATATGTGTATAAGGATGCAAAATCAGCAAGAGCAAACATTTTCTAGTTCATTCGGTCGGTGAACATAATGCTCTAAAATTCCTGAAACAAATATGTCGGTCGAGTCCGAAGGAAGATTCTGAAGTTGTGCTCTTGGTTTTACCATCCGCACTCGATCTTCAGGACGAGAGGTATTTATAAATATCTCCGCGTTACTTGCTTCTGAAAGATGAAGCCCAATACTGCAATATACTGCTTCTTGGGCGGATATTTCTGTACCAGAAATAAATTTATGACCTATATGCTGAAGTTTCTGCTTAATAGTATAGTTACCAGCATTTACTTCTGATATGGCTTCATTTAAGAGCCTAGAAATTCCTCTATTCGATTTATTTATGTAATTTATTATATAAGAGCAGCAAGCATAAGCATCTAATATGAACTGAATATCCATATTGGCTTTATGGAGCTCTAAAATGGTAGGATTGTAAGCATTAATTGATCGATCCACCAACTTCCTTTTCAAGAAGATTTTAGGTTTTGATAAACTCGATCTTAGCGCAAGTATATAATGATCAAATGAAATGTTTAATCTAGGATCTGCCAGGAAACTATCGAAATTATTTAAATTTAATATTTCAGATGATGGTAGATTCGAATTCAAAAAGTTTTGAATTTTCGAATAGTTTTCCCTATGAAGTTCTAAGTTTTCTTCATTTTCCGGAAGGGGCAACAAAATTTGTGTAGAAGGCATGGGTGGGTATGGAATACCAAAACGACAAATTTGCTGTCCTCTTATTTCCCTTGCACAAGACCGACTGTGATTGTGCTTTTGATAACCTAGATAATTTTGTAAGTGGCTTACGGTGCCCTCCGTAGAAATGTACGTATCTATGAAATCAATAGCATTCGGGAAGGTTTGGGGATCTTGAAGATCGATCTTAGCGGCATTATTAAGCCAAAACATTCCATGTACATGGGGAGAACCTCTCTGTTGAAATTCAACCCTCCAATAAAAATGTGTAACAAAATGTTCATCAAAGATACCTCCATTTTGTTTGAAAATTTTTAACATTTGACGGTACCGATAATCGAAGTATCTAGCACACGTCACTGCATCTGAACGGATAAGGCGATATCGCTCTTGAGTTGACAAATCGCTTGCTTCGTCCTCGGAAATATCTCTAGTATCAACTGTTTTTGATAAAATCACTAAAAGCTCAAGCCATTGGGACTCAGCAGCTGATAGTGTAATAAAGAAGGTGGGGAGACCAAACTGCCGAATCATAGCAATAGCCTTTTTCTTCTCCGCCTCCCAGTGGGCGGGAGAAGACCTCACACCTTTGAGAACTTTGTAGCCATCATCGTGTTGAATCATGTTTTGGACAAAATTTTCATTTAATAGATTTTGAGCTGTTACTCGATTAGAACCGGCAAATTTTCGAAGGCAAATGGAAGTGCTGTTCTTAATTTGCAGCAATTCGAGCTTTTTGTAGTTGTAAAATATCTTTGGTATGGTACATGCTCTTCTATCATACCGACGGATTTCAGATCGAACAATTTTATTGTAAGTCTCTGTACAAGTACGCTTTTGCCCAGCATAAATTGTAGCAAATGACAGTTCTTCTGAATCGTTGTCCTGTACTACATCAAGAGGCCTTTGGCCCTCGCCGGGAGCTATAACCAAACGGTTAATATCCAAATTTTCTACGGGAATATTATCAAGAAGAGTTTCTTGACCAGCCACATTAAGTTCTTCAAGAACTGGATCGAGGGATGGACGAGGAGTTGAAGCACTATTATGCGAAATCACTTGTCCTTCATTTATATTTTCGACTAATGGTGCATCTTCAATTGATGCAATAAACGGAACTTCTTCCTGGCTATTGAAACTCGAAATCCAATTTTCATTAATTTGAATATTGTGCTCACGGTATAAAGGGGTATTTACTAGAAACCGCAAAGCCTCCATAACCTTTGCAGGTCGTATGGTATCAGTCATATAGTCATGATTATATTCCATACGCCTTCTCAAATGAATTTGAATGACATGCGTCTGATCAAATGATCGAGGAAGATTTGTTACAATGTCATTCACAGAAATAGGGATATTAACGACAGCACCTTTTAATGAACTCTGGCCCTGATACCCCAATGGACGAATCGTCATAAACGGTAATCTAGGCATAATCAGGCGTTCTTCTATTGGTGTTAGATTTTTCAGACATTCGGGGATTTCTGGAAAATCTAACCCATTAGCTAAACATAAATGAGGAAGCCTTTTGTTCACAATTGCATTTCTGCAGGTTATACAAAAACTATAATCTCCATCCTCCGATGGAAATTTTTCTGATAAATAAAAGGCGGATGCAACATTCGGGTGGGGACTTCGAGAAACTGCATTGAAATTTAATGACCGTACCTGATGGGGAAACCATAGACCCCGACAGCAAATACAAACTGTTATGGGTCCTTTTTTGATATTATCGAAATAGGTACGTCTAAAGTCAGTAACGCTGTCTTGATTTTGAGCTGGAAAACCGGGACTATATTCTCTATTTGATCTAATTCGCTCCGCCTGACGTTCATTTTCGATTCGCCTGTTCGATATGTCAACTCGATGGAGACGAACTCGACTTTGGACATCACGTCTCAAGTCAGGTCTTTCTTCCCTAGCTTCTCGTCTAATAACCCGTCGACGATCCGTTTCCCTAACACGCTAATTTTCCCTTCGCTCACTATCCGTACGAGCTTGATACCTTTGAGTACGTTCACGCAAGCGCTCCGAAGCCCTATACTCATTTCTACTGCGAAGAATTCTGTGAGCTATAGTATTGCGAGNGACAGACAGACATGGCTTAATCGATTTCTCTATTCTTTCTGAGCATTTATGTATACATTTGTCTATATCTATCTCGATTCGTTTTGACTGTTACAAACAACCGTTATGTGAACAAAATTAATATACCATTGTGCACAAGTGCGCTCGGGTATAAAAAAGGTGGCAACCCTATTCAAAAAAGTCATGCCTTATGGTATATGGGCAAATCCTGGCGTTCGGATGTTACGTTCGGACGCTTGTTCAGGCCATTTATTTCTATTAATGAACACATATTGNGTCGGCTGAGCGAATTTGAGAATTTCCGCGGCGAGACCTACGTTGGTGAGTATCTCTACTTTGCTCACAAGCGCGATATTGAGGGTTTTCGCGTCGAGAGATATGCTCTCGGGTATTTCTGTCTTGCTCGGCTGAGCGAATTTGGGGATTTTCCCGGCGAGACCTACGTTGGTGAGTATATCTACTTTGCTCAATAGCGCGATATTGAGGGTTTCTCGCGTCGAGAGATATGCTCTCGGGTATTTCTGTCTTGCTCGGCTGANAAGTGGTTTTGAGGTTATTGACAATTTTTGGTTAGGTTAGCGAATTTATCAATTTCACAACAAAAGTTAAAAAGAAAGGGATGTAGCAAAATAATCAAGCTTTGTAAAAAGTGTTGTTTAGTTTTGAAATACGAGCTATAAATTTCGCAGTTAACAATGTAATTTGTTCGGACGTTACGTGACGGACGTTACAGATATTTTCCCCCAGTAGAAATTATGAGTAAAAAGTTAAGAAATGTATACGGTTTTTATTGAATAATAAAATAAGTTGAACAAACAACGCAAATTTTTTATTAAAATATTTATTTTTATTGGTTTTGACTTCGATGTCATTGCCACTTCCAAGTAATTGAATAAAACTCAAGAAATAACGATTATTTTCCGAGCAAAAAATAAAACTTANATAATCTAGGCATTATACTTTATCTAAATTAAAATTAAATTGCTTAAATACCTAAAAATATTTTTCCTTATGAAGAGTTTCTCCGCTCGTTGCACCTCTGCTTCCAACTATTTGTTCGATGATTTGCCGAATGGGGGTCTTCCGTTATCTTGTTGGCTCAGAAGTTGTGGTAAGATTGTCCTGGAGCTTTCTCGGCAGTTGGGTGTTTTCAGGCCTGTGATGTTTTTATTGTTTATGGCCAATTTCCAAAATTTAAAATTTTTAAAAACACGTCACTACTTTAAAAACGCACACGAAATTTTTCTCGTTGNTTCCACTGCAAGAAGTCCACATTGAAGCGTTGAGCAAAGTGTGGGATGGTCCTTAAAATGAACCTATTTTTAAGTTGACTGCTGCATCCATCCGAGAATACAAAAGTTTTGAAATAACATATCTTTGCTGTAACTCTGTTACAGTTTCAGAAAAAAAGCAGTAAACGTCATTTTTGCTATGTGCCAAACTATCGCTTACAATAACAAAAGAGTGTACCCGACCATCGAGCCATGCCACACATGTAAAGAGTGTTACTTGTGTGTAACTATAATGGGCAGACTGAACTTCATTTTGCACTGTAAGCCTATAGTTCTCCGCAAAATCTATTTGGATTACTAGTTCTCCAGATTTAAGATTAATTTTTAGATCTTCAAAGTATATTTGTTGACTGCGCTTAATAAACGTGTGAAGCTTAAAATTACGCAACTGCGATTCGATTTCGAAAATAAGCTCCCTCATAGACTCTTCGGATATACTTAAAAGCATTAGATCATCAACTGTCCGCCACTGCTTCCACTTAATAGTTTCATCCAGTTTATTAAGGAAACGTGTGGGAATTAAACTAGATGTTATATTGAACTCGCAATCTTCACATTCATTTGACATACACCTCTCACTTTTGATATCGCAACAGACATTTTTTAAAAAATCATCAAACTTAGTAGGAAATGATGAAATTTTCTTATTCATTGCTTCTAACAAAAAGGAAAAGTTTGCGTGATATCTACAAACACACATGTTATGGGGCATGTCTTTGCTCATAAGTACGGTTTTTGGTCTATTGTCGTAAAATTTTGTTCGCGATATACTTGTTTCGGCGAATTCAGTTTTGAACAATTGATATGCTTCATTTACAGTCATAACCATGTAACGCTTAGCTGCAAGTAGTGAGTCACTGCCCCTTAAGACAGTCTTTTTTCGACATGCCGTTTGTACTGAAATGTCATCTCGAGCAAAAAAGTCATGTATAACTTTAACGTCTTCTTCTTCGTTCTTTTTTTCTGGTGCACAATCAGTAACTCTCTTTTTTACATATTCTTCATAAAGGATCTCAATTAGTTTGCACTTCCTATTAATGTCTTGTGGTAAAGCTCGTTTTACTTTTTGAAGTGCTTTTCCTAAAGTTTGTTTACAGCTGTACGGCTTGACTACTGTAATAGCTGTTTCTTTTTTTCTTTCTCGAAATGCCATTTGGCGCTTGCAGTTTTCTGCTTTTAGTTTTTTAGCGAGCGAAGAGTCACCACTTACTCGAACTTTCATATTTCTCCTATAATTTCGCTTCCTAATGGCTTCCTTTGCTTCATGTGTCTTGGATTTTAAGTCGTCTTTTTTTATAGCTGATCTCCACGCCTTTGCCCTTTCTGCTGCCGTCTTAGTCATCTATTCAATTAAAAAAAATGCTTCACTATTTCAATCAAATAAGTAATATCAAAACTTACCGTTCGGACGTTACGAAAATTAAGAGATCAAAATTGTTATACGGATTAGCTTTCCTGAGTACTTCGATTTTTTTCCTTGCAGCTCTAATGAAAATTACTTTAGAAATGACCGAGCTGTGTTTCTTTGATCCCACCACATTCGTTTTGCACAAAATAAACGTTATTTTTCGTTACGGACGTTATGTACTGAGCGCCTAAACTAAATTCATGATTTGCAGTTATACGATTGTGCTCTTAGTATTGCCATAACACCAGATCACAGAGTCAAGAGAGATCTCAGTAATAGAGAAAAAATTAGATGCAGAACTTTAGTATATGGGCATAACGGAGTTTATGAAAACAAACAAAAAAACACATAGCGAGTACATAGCAGAAGCCAGACTTAGAAGAAATACATTTGTGGGCCGTGTAAATAAACAAAAAAAAAATATCAACTTGATTCGAATAAAAGAGGTACGAAAGAAACTATTTGCCCCTATAACTTTACGATAGCAGCAAATATTTTTTTTTACTTCTGGTGGACCATTTTCTGGATTTACCCATATACATCTAGAGGCTAAGCCCTTTAATTTGGCACCTCAGTTTTTAAAATCGAATAATCGATTTACGATAGCAGCAAATATTTTTTTTACTTCTGGTGGACCATTTTCTGGATTTACCCATATACATCTAGAGGCTAAGCCCTTTAATTTGGCACCTCAGTTTTTAAAATCGAATAATCGATTTACGATAGCAGCAAATATTTTTTTTACTTCTGGTGGACCATTTTCTGGATTTACCCATATACATCTAGAGGCTAAGCCCTTTAATTTGGCACCTCAGTTTTTAAAATCGAATAATCGATTTACGATAGCAGCAAATATTTTTTTTACTTCTGGTGGACCATTTTCTGGATTTACCCATATACATCTAGAGGCTAAGCCCTTTAATTTGGCACCTCAGTTTTTAAAATCGAATAATCGATTTACGATAGCAGCAAATATTTTTTTTACTTCTGGTGGACCATTTTCTGGATTTACCCATATACATCTAGAGGCTAAGCCCTTTAATTTGGCACCTCAGTTTTTAAAATCGAATAATCGGTGCAGATCTGATGCCGTTAACAAAAACTCATGTTCACTTCATGTATTGTATGTATACATATGTATGTATATAGATTTGAACTATCTCTGGTATTTGGGTATAGGGGTTATTAAAATCCATGTAGGAGCTTCAAAACTTTCATATTCGAATATACACAGCTCTGGAATACTTGATTTTTAACTTTGACTTTTATTTTTGCCTGAAAAAATAAAAGTCAACAATTACCGATTATTTTCTGCTCGAAAAAATAAAAGGCAAATTTTAACTTTTATTTTTGCCTTAAAAAAATAAAAAGCAGAAATAATCGGTTTTATTTGCTCAAAATGATAGAAGTAAAAAAATAACTTAAATTTTTTAACTTTTATTATAAAATGCATAACCGGTACGGTCTCTGGTAAATACATTTATTTTACTGGTAATTTTGTATTCATTCTGGTGTAAAGACAAATTAAACGTTTGCAGTTTAGGTGTACAAATACAAGTGCTTATATTCAAAAGAAAAAAAAGGTAATAGGTGACACGCTGAGTAATCGTTTCTAAGTTTCTAGGTAAGTCAAGTCAAGTCTTAGCCTTGCATAACCCAGCTTTAAGTTAAATTTCTAAGTGCAAAGAGAGCCGTGAGAGAATCAAGCTGCCATTTCATTTTTTAATAAAACCCCTACAAATATGCCACATATTATAATTTTTGGTATAAATGTAAATCATCTGGCAATCGAAAACCAAACTTTCAAATAAAGACAGAAAATAAAATAAAAACAATCACAATTTGATACGCGTAAATCATATATGTAATACTCCTATATTGGCAGTAAGAGCTAGTACCGTCCGAAAACACTACAGTACAGATATATCAATAAACACGTACGAAAGAAAAGGAACACATACGTTTATAAATAGACATGTACACAACACATATACAAAAACGGCACTCAAGTACACAATACATTGACAAAAACGGTACTAGACTGTCTCGCTTTGATTTCGCAATGATTACACATTGAGAAGTTAGCTTACTGCCAATATAGAAGTATTACATATATGGCGTAAATACATTTATTTTACTGGTGATTTTGTATCCATTCTGGTGTAAAAACAAATTAAACGTTTGCAATTTAGGTGTACAAATACAAGTGCTGATATTCAAAAGAAAAAGAAGTAGTTGTTGTTGAGGGATGCGTGTTGCCTAACCGGCATAGTCTGTGTGCGCTGCTGTGGCAAGTGCCGCCCTGTGGTGGTAGTGGATGGCGTCGCAGTTGGGGCTTACGACCGTGACGTAGGCCTGAGCAGACTCTAATGTGACTCCACTCGTTGCAAGCATTGCTCTTGGCTGAGGTGTAGTTATGGTGTAGTCGTCTCTGGCATACACAGCAGGTGTAAGTTTTTGGCCCAGGGTTTGACTCGATGCCAGCCCTGAGCAGAAGAATACTTAGCAGATTTGGCCTTATGAACGAACAACGTCTGAGATCTTTCACCGGCCCAAACGGGGTTAGGTCGCCGAAACAGCAGCCTTTGGTGGGGTAAAACCCTAGTCATTCCGGTACGTAGAACCGGGCTATCGTGGGAATGGCTCGTCTGTACGTCGTCGGGTCAAGTGGTTGGTCTGCGTATTTCTGGAATGCGTCCTTGTACACGAATAGGTGCCCCCTAACGTGCCTGGGCGGAGGCTCCTCTAGCAGTGATCTATTGGGGTGTTCACTTCTGTGGCATATTTTTGTGCTCCCTTACGCTGTGTAGGTGGCGACATCAGAAGGCACCCAGTCGTTGTCCGGAGTACGGTGTTCTGACAAGTCCGTAGCTTCGTCCACTGTGTCCACCTAGTCCCCGGCGATCAATAATAAGTCAACTTACCTTCTCCGCTCCAAGGTCAGATGAGAGAAATAGTTGATAGCTAGCGCAATTAGCAGAGATTTGGTATCCAAAGTTTTATGAGATGCCTTGTATTCTTCCAATTGCTTACTCCACATGTGGAACTCGGAGCTTAGTTTATCAATCAGCACTTCCGCTGCATTCAACGTCTTTCGCGCTTGGCCTAGTTTAATTTCCAATACTGCTGCTTCCTGCGTATAAGAGTTCAATTTTGCCGACAGTTGCTTTACACGATTATCTACATCGTCCAAGCCGCTCATAAGCAGTTGCATTTCGCCCTCGGCTACATTCAAGTTTTGCTGCAACTCAGTTTGCTCCCGCTCTAACGGACGTATGCTCTGTATGACCTTTGAGTATTGCACACTTGCCTTTACCCAAGCTGCAAGTGGTGCAGCAGCTGCAGAGGCACGTTTTGCATTCTTCATTTCGAACGATACCGCCTTAACCTTCAACAATTTTTCAACTGCAGCACAGTTATCCGGATTGATATGAGCTGGGTCCAACGAGCGTATATCTTCCTTTACACCACGTTTCGCCAAAAAAGTCTTCATGCTATTCCATGAGGTATCGCGTATGCCCATCAACCGCAACACGCCCTCGAGTATATCGCGTATCGTCTCTGGTGGTGCACGTAGCGATCGAATCTCTGAGAGTGCTTCTGACTTTATTTGACCCACTGCTGTGCTGGCCTCCGCGAGTATGGGTTCCACTTCTGCAAGTTCCTGCTGAATCTCTTTCTGACGCTCTTTCAACTGCTCACTGCTCTCTTGGGCCTTTTTCTTTAATTCAAGCATGTTAGTTTTTTGATCGTTGGCACTCCTCATAGTGGCTGAAATCATTTCGAGTGCATCATTGGCTAGTCTGCGTTTGTCGGCGAGAGCTTCCTCTTGTTGGCTGGCGTTGGATTTGAGTGTGTCTACAACGTTATGAGCGGCGGCTAGTTTGTCGACGCCGTGCTGGTAAAATAAGTTAGTCGGAACAATAGATTATGCTATGATTGTTCGACATATTTACATACCTGCAACTTTTCCAACCTCTTGTTTATATCCTTTGCAAAATTCAAATAAATATAGTAGTAAGAGCGTATTAACTGGTAGTAGCGCTTCGGCGCCTGCTGTGTTACTAAAGATTCTACAGCATCAGTAAAGTACGAGAATACTGGTACACTGCCTTTAGTACCCGCCCCTTCGGCAAGCATTTCAATGAATTTCTTTGGTAGCTGATTTTGAGTTTCAGTAGAAGCGGTGCGTACAAAACATATATCCATGTTACGGTATAGCGCTGGAAATTTGCTGAATAAACTGTTTAAGGATGGGTTGGCCGGATCCAAGGTTATGATAAGGTGTAGATTCTTCTTGGCCCCTGAAAATAAATTTATGTGCATGACATATTTTTTCTAGAATGTAAATGTATTTATTCGGTAGTACTTTTTAAAAAGTATGCGCCAAGGGACTCCTGAAAACCCTCCGACTGGGCAGCATGCTTCAGAGTACTCGCTACCGATTCCAAGTCATCGCCGAATAAATCAAGTATCTCGCTTCCTTCCAGTACAGCTTCAATGGGCTTCATTATGTCTGGGGCAAACGTAATCCAACAGTGATCGATGAGCAAACAGGTGCACTGGTTCTCAGTTGCCGCGGTTTGCATAGCCTGCAATAGATTTTATTTAACACATATTTTGTGAATGATAATTTAAACTTATCGCTGAACTAACTAATTTCAAATCGTTATAGAAGTCCGTTACGCCATACCCAGCGCCACCTTGCATAATATACAACTTTGAATGCTGCAAATTGGCCGCTACATAGAGGGCATCCAAATGCCTACCACCCGCGCGTGCAATCATCAACAAGTGTGTTTCGTCGCGCGCCAGGACTCGCGCCACTCTGGAAGCCAAGTCGAGCAGCTCCCTAGTGATCGGCTCGTCGATTACAAAGGACTCAGCATCTAAGTAGTCAAAGTTTAATTAGCCAGGGCGGGCATGGACTATAAATATAAAATTAGTTTCTGCTTACTACAAATAGTAATTTGCTTCTGAACTTCTTCCTGCCACTCATCGTGTGCGAGTGCACGAAATTCGACACAGTGTTTTGGCGACTTGGGGACGAAGAATACTTCCTGTATGAGGAAAATTAAGTTTATGTTCCATTTAATTGGACGTTTTTTAATATTCTACCTCTTTGCTGTAAATCTTGCGCATTGTTTGCCTAAATATACTCTGAAACTCGCTGACGTCAGCATCACTGGCCAAGCGATTTTCGAATGTGGAGATTAACTCTGAGCAAAAAGCCTGAAAAAGGTGAATATAATATTTGAATATTTCAACATCTGCGTGTTTCCCTCACCTCATTGAAAGTTTCAGCAGGATAGTAATGCAGATTGTGAATCAGTTTCATTACGAACTTTGGATTAAAATTATAGTGTTCCCAGCCATGTGTAGATACACTGAACGTTGCTTGTAACTTAAAGGGGGAAATAGACAAATATATAACGTTTTTTCATCATATATTCCTATTCATAGGAGCTTAGGTTCTTGTTGCTTATTTCTAGAAACACTTTTTTCATATGAGTGCTGTAATAATTTATTGATGTGGTACTAGCTTTCAAATTATGTAAAGTGTTTATTGGTGAGTTGTCTTTGGCTTTTGTACATGGCTCAATTTGAATGAAATTTTTATTTCTATCCATGTAGCTTAGCACTTTTACTGCCACCAATACATGATTCTTACCTTTTTGAATAACTCCATCAAACCTTCCACAACGTACTGCACATTTGCTGCCGGCGTTTTGAAGTGTTCATTTGCTAATATAGGCTCCAGCCGACTTTGAACTATGGCGAACATGTCGGCATCGTTTGGGTTACTAATGCGAAGGAATTGATTTATTGCGAGAAATCGTCGCGGTAGCTTCTGTAGACTGCTGCTTATTGCTGATGTAGAGGCTTGTGAAATGGATCCACATATTTGCAAATCGCTGATGTGCACCCATTCCAGATTTTCTGCATAAAAACCGGAGCGTTGCACCAGCTGAAACAACAGTTCCATAACTTCACTTGTACCCCATGCATCGATGTAGCAAAGATCAATATTCTTCAAGAACAAAATCAATCGCAATTGCTTCGGTTTGAATTCCCGCCCTCGTAGACCACTCACAGTGACGCAGTTCTGAAAATATGTGTGCTAGAATTTCGTATCATAAAATTATAACATACCATTCACACCTGCTTTAAGCAATGTAAGATGTAGGCGGTCGTAAGCTGCGTAGAACAGTTAACGATGATTATATTGTAGCCAGCATACTCCTGTACCGCCTGCATCAACAGCAGCGTTTTCGCTGAACCCGTCGGGCCCACAATTAGGAATGGTGTGTTAGCGGAAGCACTTAAGTAGGTGCGTAACGTACTTAAATATGATTTAACCGCAGCGGTCTGTAAGAGTTGCATCCCACCGTTAAGCTCATTTGCGTCAAATAATGGTAAGGCATCTGACTCATAAAACTCAATTGTGTTGAGTTCGTTATTAAAGTATGCCAATTCTGCACGATTTGGATTACTGATGTGAATATTTGCGCGCTCAAATATAAAATTGGCTAATTCATTGTGTCGTTCAGGTGGCAAAAAACCGTAAAGTGTACGACAAAGCGTCACACAAAACTCATCGCGACTTTGTACGGCGCTCAACCGCAAAAGTAAGGCGCGCAGGAGCTTCCAAGTATTTAAAGGGGGTAAGGAGCTGCTTTGGCTTGAGTAAAGTTTCATACTTATTAAGGTAAATTCTCTTATTTGAACTCACAAGACACTTACTACAGATACTCTTTTTCGACCCACTGTACGGCCGGCTTAAATTGTTCCTCTATGTAACTGAACACGAGGTCGCCAAACTCTTCCTTGGCTAGCATGGTTTCAAGTATTTGTGCTTGCGGAAAATCTGTATTACTGTATAAGGAATGACAAATAATTCGATATTTGCAAAAACTGTATAAGGATTTGTATGTACATGTCATCGCTACCATGTCAAACTATCGAATGTGCAAAAATGCTTTTTTAATAGCGATACATTGCGCATGAGTTTTGAATGATACACAAGTTGGCAAATCGTTAAATTTCGAGTCTTGTTAGAAGCAGAGGATACTGGCTTTAATAAAGTGTCGAATAAAATACCTTTTCCTAATGACATTTAAAATATTTTTTTTTTTTGCTCTTGAAAAGTACCAATTTTTACATTCGATAGTTTGACATGGTAGCGATTCAACGAGCAAAAAAAATCGATGTGTTAGATTTATTTCAAACTTTGAGGTCATAATCTACGTTGAATTTCATGAGACCCTTATTTTTTCTTTTTTTCCGAAAATACGGTTCTGAATCCCGTAGCACGGTATCAAAAATTAGGTCGTAAAAGCCATATTTAAAAAAATTAAAATTTACTTCAATGTATATTCCAATCAGCATCAGCACAGTCATCGACTAACTTTCGTAGCATACGTTGGTGTTTGCGGTTGTGTTCTCTGTGTATATTCATTCGCGGTTCAGTTATATCCCAACAACAATCTTCATACGTTTAATTTTTTTATTTGTCTTGTTTGCCAAGTGTACCACGTGCTTAATTTGATTCCATTAAATTTAGACCCAACATGCCCCCTGGGGCGCATAATTTAGGGGACAATAGGTTCACTGCCTTTGCGTCCTCCCCCAAACGTAAGAAGAAGCGTCCAACAAAATTCAATGATTTTCCAGATCTTCCGCATCTTAACAAAACAATATCCATCTCAAAATATATTTCTTCCACTAATCATCAGAAACGCCTTTCTCATTATTCATATTTCGCAGTACAAAGATCACTAAACGTAATAAGGAAGAACATAGAACAAATTTCAGAGCTTAGAGACGGAAATCTTCTTCTACTGGTCAAAGGCAAGCATACTGCAGAAAAATTTATAGCTGCCAAGCAACTTCCAGGAATATGCGATATCACATGTAAATACCGCGACAACCTCAATTTTGTGAATGGGACGGTCTTCGCCCCTTTTCTAAAATATCTTCCTGATGAGGAAATCGTAAAGGAATTATCAACTGAGGGTGTAGTAAGTGGTTTCCAATTCACAATGATAACACAGGCCAACAGAATGGAAAACAATTTTGGTGCGGTAAATGTTAAAACTGTTTTTGATAGACTTTTTGGTGCTGATTGAGAATCCGTAAGTACAAAGTTTCCATCAGCTCCAGATCTTGAGAAAAATGAGGTCAAAGTGTCAAAAAATCACGATTTTCGCAGTATTTGAGAAGCTGTAGAGAACTTAGGCTTAAATTAAGGCTAGAACTCTCGACTACTGTCCCTGAAAATACCCTCCCTACACCTTGACCTGATGGTCACTTATAGTCGTTTAATGAAGAGCAAAAACTGATTTTGGCGAAGTTTGAGTACCTACCGCAATTAAAAAAAGGACATAGAACCCTCCACTTAGGCTTAAATTAACGCTTGAACTTTCGACTACAACCCCTGAAAACCTTGATCTGATGGTAACTTATAGTACTTTATTGAACAGCAAAAACTGACGGTATTTTCAGGGATAATAGTTGAGAGCTCTATATTTAATTTAAGCCTAAGTGGAAGGTTTTGTCATCTTTTATTTCTTTGCTAGAGCTTCCCAAATATTGCAAAAAATGCAATTTTTTGACACTTTGACCTCGTTCTCTCAAAATCTGGAGCTGATGGAAACTTTATACGTATGTATTCGTAATCAGCACCAACAAGTCTATCAAAAACAGCTTTCACATTTGCGGCACAGTGTTGCCCTGTGTAATTGACAATAAAGTAACCCCAAGTGGGGTTATCCTCCTTATTTTTGATGCATTCAGAATTCCAGAAGCCATCAACATATCTTGGTATAAAGTTAAGTGAGGGAATATTTCTCGAATCCCCAAGTCCATCATCCAACGTATTCAACATTCGATTTCCATTAATCTAACAACTTCTGCAAACAACACTTCACGATTACAACCGACTTCTAACTCTACATTATCCTCGCATATTACTCGCTACACACAGGAACTCTTAAACCAAAACCGCTATTTATATTCTCCAACTCGATTGACTTCTGACTCTGAAAGCGAAAGATCAGATATGATGATTAGTAACATTAGTAACCCTATCGATGACCTTTTATATTCTTCAATGGAATATCCACGGACTATATAACAATTTGAATGAATTAAAACTTTTCCCTTCAATAGAATTGCACCTATCTCAAATTCATTTCATAGTTATTTCCATAACCTACCCAGTAACTACTTCAAAGCAAGGCATATGAATCATGGTAAAAAACAGAACTCGCCACAAATTGCTAGATATTATATCCCCGATATCAGTCATTGCCGTCGAAGTTAACTTAGGTTTCAAATTTACTATTGTTGCATCCTACATTCCTCTGCGGCAACCTTTCAATCTCAAAAATCTTCTAGACATAACTTCTGGTATTACTACTGATATACTCTTGATCGGCGACTTGAATGCGTGGAGCCCCCTTTGGGGATCCACTTCTGATAACCCAAAGGGGAAAGGAGTAGACGATTTTATCCTTCTAAATAATTACATAGTATTAAACGACTTGGCCCCAACTCATTTTTCAACCCACCAGACATTTACGTATGCAGACGTAAGTATGTGCTCGGCTAGTTTGGTCCCAAAGCTCTTTTCCCCTTTTTTCCACGGAAGCGACCATTTCTACCTTCTTACTAAAATTGTCGCCGCTCCGTCCAATCCAGGTACCCCCAAACCAAAGTTTATCACAGAAAAAGCACACAGGGCCCTTTTCCAACGTTCAGTAACAGGAACCTTGACAAACTACAACCAGTCATCTGCGATCAGCAAAGAGGCCAATAGTATAGCTAAAACTATTCGCACAGCTGCACATCTGTCTATTCCCTAAACACAAAAGAAATATTATAAAAGCATTGTGCCCTACGAAACAAAAAACAAACCCTTTGGCCCATTCCCATCCCAATCTATCGGAATACAAAAAAAGTAACGCCTACTTAACAAAAAAAAAAACACTGAAAGAGGCGCAGAGACAAAGCTTTGAGGATTTGACTAGTACAATAACCTCAGATTTCAACCCCAGAAAAATTTGGTCTAATATAAAGATGCTTTCGGGAACCTTCTCACCCTCATCTATAAAATTATTAGACACTACTATTCTGCGGACATGGCAAATCATTTCGGCTCCGCTTGGTCAAACTATTCAAAAGACTCCAATTTCCACCTTAATTTTGTTGCCGAGAAAAATCTAACTCTAAGAGAAGACTACGTAAATAACTCTCCCTCGCCATCTGTCAAAAAAATTGAGTCCCCTATTACCATTTTCGAGTTTGAAGTAACTATTTATTCAATGTCGGGTAAAACCCCAGGCCGTGACCGTATTTCATATTCATTGCTGAAAAGCTTACCCTTAGTAGTCAATACTCGATTGGTCGACCTGTACGACGCTATCCTAAATCAAGGCATCTTTTCACACACGTGGAAGAATGCAACCTCTATTGCTGACTATAGACAAATATCACTCTTGCCATGTTTAAGCAAAACACTGGTTCGCGCATTCAAACAAACTATTTGATGCCCATCAAGTTGCGTTCAAGAAAGGCCAGGGAACGATGGACGCCTTACTTATTTGTAAACATTTTGTCTCATCTGCCCTTTCCACAAAAAGCTCTAGTTAAAAGATTAGATATAATTAAATACCTACTTGATCTATTAAATCTAAAAAGGCCATGTGAATGCTGAGGAAATTCCTCAAATTTTGAAAAAAAAAAATGTCTCCATATACATGGTGAAATAAAAATAAGGTGATGTCAGTTAGGGGGTGTTTGTTGTAATTTTGACAAATTCGGTAGCCCCGTTCTGATTGATGCCCTCTTGAACAAAAACTACACTAGAAAAACTCCTTTTAGGTATTGCGCTGAAAACGTAAGAGTGAATATCACTGTCCTTGACATTTCTGTTTAGTTGTGACTTTTCCATTTAATATTTTTTGCAAAAATTGTGATTTGTGTGTATATTCAACAGCTTTTAATTTTGCGATTTTTTGGAGGTTTTCCTGACTTTGGCTACAAATTTAGGTAACCAATTTTAAGTACTTATGCCAAGTGGCCAATAAAACTTATTATGTTTACCTTCCACAGATTGTGAATTGGGTTTTTTATCTCAGCGAGAAGCTGCGATATAAGTGCGATTTTTGGCTGCAGTGGACTTCAGTTCCAGGTGAGTTTATTCAATTGGCCAGGTAGTTAATAAAATGGTCAGTAAAAGTGCGTTTCTTGTTTAATAGGTTTTGGAAGTTGTGCCTGTTCACCTACTAGAGGCTGCAATACAAGTGCTTTACAAATAAAATTACGAAAATCTTTTTATAATTCATAAATAATCGGTCTTTTAAAAAGAAGAAAAAACTTACTTAGAGTAGTTGTGTTTGTTTAAAAAATTATTCAGTAACTCGCCCGCAACTCCCCAGTGACTTAATTTCTGCGAATTCGCTCTCAAAGAAAAAATATCCAAAAAAGTACGTGAACGCAAATCCAGTAATAATTACCAAGTTTCATGAACAATTTATTCTTTATTCGCAGCAAATTCCTAATAAAACAATATATTTTATATTTAAATTGGTGTATTTGGTCAATTTCAATAATAAAAACCCAAAAACAGTTTCCTTATTAGTTTAAATTGCATCCAGCAAGTTACAAGTAAAAATTTATCCATTAAAAATGCAGTAAAAACTTGGAACTTCAGCTGTTTCGCTCTCTCAATAAGTTTTTGCGTACGAAATTGCCAAAACATGAAAATTCGTACCAATTTTCTGGATTTTACTGGAAATGGGTAAACCTAACACAACTATTGTTTATTATCTTTAACGTTGTTTTGGTAAAATAATTCTTTAATACATACTTTTTAAAAATAGTATTCAAAAGGGCGTTAAAATGGTCCTAAAATGTTCCCCTTTTTTTACTACATTTATAGGCATTGCCGAAATGGGGCTCCCAAAAAAGTGAGGTTATGCAACTGACATCACCTTGTTTATTCCACCATGTCCATATAATAATATATAAATTTGAATTTTTTAAATATCGCTTTTACGACCTAATCATTGATACTGTGCTACGGGCTTCAGAACCGTGTTTTCGGAAAAGAAAAAAAAATACGTATCTTATGAACGTAGATTATGTCCTCGAAGTTTGAAATATGTAAATCGAACACATCACTTTTTTGCGCGCTGAATCCATACAGAATGGGCCATATATACCCCAGTAAAAGAATTATACATGCAGTATTTCAACTTCAGCTAGTTAAATGAAAAACAAATCATAGATCTTTAATGTTTCTCCCTATAATTGTATTCATTAACTCTATAAAAAGAATATAAAATATCTTATAAATATGCATTAGTTTATGACAAGATAATTTCATTGTGCTATTATATTCAAATTTTCATACAACTGTGGAACACAAAAAAAACTAGATTGCGCATATCACAGGTTTGATAGCTATTGATAGCTTTCCGGGCTGCTCCGGTAATTAGAGCGTAAAAATAAGTTACTCTCTCACAATTGTCAAAAATGTGTCAACACGTGCCAAAAGTGCCCAGAGCGTGAGGAACGCAAAAAACCACATTTCGTGCCCGGAATCAACAAATCGGCTATAAACAATGATGTTACGTGTATGTATCTTATATGGCTAATAAAATTACCAAATAACTACATTTTCTGAAAATTCTGTGGTATTTTCCACTGTTGTGTTTTATAAAATTTACTTTCGCATTTAAACAACAACAGCTGTTATTTCTAATTGCCCTTTTGCACATTTGTGCTCGATCCAAAAGTAGAACGTATTCGCTCTCTATTACCCATTTTTCTAGCGTGAGGAACGCTTTCTGGGCTCTTTTGGGCACCCGCGGGCTCTTGTGGAACAAACCTATTAAGATTTACTAGATCAATTCGTGTTCTCGAGAAAAAAAGTTTTCAGGATCCAAAAATCTGTGTATAGCGGTCAAACTTTTTTCTCCAATTTTTTTTTTAATTTATCGTTATATACAAAGCTTTTCAAAATTTGAAGAAAAAAATTTGGCCGCTATACTTTGATATATTGATCATGAAATTTTTTTTCTCGAGAACACGAATGGATCTAGTAAAACTTAGTATGAGTCATTGTTCGTATGACCAACAGCTATCAAACCTGATATGTATGTATATGTGCACTCTAGGTTTCTTAAAGAGTTAATATTTGTTCCACAGTGTAATAATACATTTATTTGGTTATTATTACACTGTTGTAGTTGAAAAATTCGACAGACGGAAGATAGGCCACTTCTAGATAATTTGGGTACGCTGAATGCAATGGCCCGTGACCCCATACAAAATTTTTAAATCAAAACTTTGCCTAAAATGTAGAAAGTCAGAATATATCGTTGAATTTTCAACGATAATTAGAGGATCTCTAAAGAAAACATATATCATAATACATAAAACAATTTGCAAACTATTTCGATCACATTTGTGGATTTTGAGCAATATTTTGTCACTTTTTTACCGAAAAAATGTTATTTCAACTTTTCGCCATTTATTAGACTAACAATTGTTCCACATCATCAGGAAATAATGGCTGTATTTTATGAAATTTTGAAACAATTTTGCTAAAAAATGTATTTTTCTTTTTTTATTCATCGCTCTCATCATTCACATTTGAATCAAGGCTCCAGCATAAATCAGCCAACGAGCTGTGGTGCGACTTGATGAAAATGGTCGCCGTGTTCATCAGATTCACTGGGCATTTGATTTTCTAATATATCTTGATGATGATGCATGAAATGCACTTTTAAATACATGCTTACGCCAATATTGTTGAACGACTGTAGCATGTTTTCAACCAATATTCTTCATCCATCTTCGTGACGATTACCCAAGACACCAATGATTACAGCTTTCAAATTATCCCATGCAATTGCTTCTTCGCTGTCAATAAACGCTAGGAGCTCATTAAGTAATACATGTATATTTTATCAAATTTAACACAAAATACCGTAAAAAATATTTACCTTCTTTGATTTTTCCATCACACAGACGAATGAAAATGGCCTTTAATGCTGACTATTTTCCCGTTTAACCAACGCTTTGATGAAATTTTTGCCCAGATCCAATTTAATGTGCAATGGAGGTAAACAATATTTTAGAGACATCTTGTACCAATGGGACATTTATTACATTTTGATCCCGATTCGCGATACATCTTTCGGCGGCCAGTCCCGTTTATCATACTGGTTGCCATGCTTAAAGTACCTTGCATCACATTGGCACAGGAAGCACATATTTCTTGTCCAGCCCAACTTTAAACCACGCAGCAATGAGACCACTGTGCTAATTGCAATTGTGACTGAGCTATTTAAATTATCGGTAAACAAGAGAACCGCTTCCAAACTATTTTTCGACGAATCTATGAACATCGCCAGTCGATTGGTTTGTACTGGTAGTTCGGAAGCATTGTGAGCATTACTACATTAATATCATTACAATATTGAAATGTATTTGCCTTATTTCGATCCCAACACCTCGGGTTTCGAGTTGACGACCATGAGCATCGTATATAGCATTTTCAGTTTAAATGAAACCATTTTCAAATTAAATGAAACCTTTTTTTAATTAAATGAAGGCTTTTTCAGGTTAAGCGAAACCATTTTCAAATGAAATAAAACCTTTTCAAGATGGAGCGAGACCTTTTTCAAATTAAATGAAACCTTTTTCAGATGCAATGAAACTTTATTTAAATTAAATTAAACTTTTTTCAAATTAGTTGAAACATCCGAGTGCGAAGAGTAGTAATGCATTTCATGAGTGATAAATAATCGAATGTATTTCTTGTGAGTTTTAGATCCAATTACTGTTTAATATGTAATCAGCATTCTATTATATTCAAAAAGTTCCAAAAATTTCATTTAAATCACATTCATTTCTCAATACTAGGTAATGCAAAATTGAATGCCCCAC